TTGGCATGAGCCACACAGATGTGGGCCCTGCTTCTAGAAAAACTTGCAGGGGAAGCTCACCTGGAACGTGGGAGTGTGGAGGGGGCCTTGGGAAAGGAGACAGGTAACCTGTGGCAACCCCAGATTCTCCTCTGAGGTGGCTTTGCTGCTGGGCACCACAGACAAATCGAATCCGCAAGAGAAGAGAAACTGGGGCCAAAGACACCTACTCCACAGGACAGAAGCTTGGAGAACCCTTCGCTCCATGCACCCCAACCCCTATTTCTTCATTTCCTATTGCTCACTGATCCAGAGACTGCACAGCCCAGCCCTTCCTCCGTTCACGTGCACTCAGCAAAACAGCCCGCCTCCAGCCTGGCTGAGATTTCCTTCTGCGAACACACTATGTTTCTCTCACGCCTCTGAGCCTTTGCACAGGCCATTCCATCTATCTAGAATGCCCTTCCTCAGGTCCCCTCCAACCCTATAGAGGTTCCTCTGAATCCTAGGAACGGTAGTGATCACTCCCTCCTCCCCACCCCACTGGTCTCCTTATCACGCACTAACACTGGACTCCCCTCAACTGGGCTCACTGGCTGACTGCCTGTCTTCCTGTTGGACCTGATTCCCGGAGGGGTGGGGGACACGTGTGCTGTGTCATGAAGCCCAGTGCCCTCTGTGTAGGGTATCCTTCCTCCTCACCCACCTGTCCAATTCCAACTTCAACCTCAGGATCGAATTCAACGGTCTCCTCTTGGCTGAAATGTGTCTACTCTTTCCACCCAAATGGGGTCCCCTCCCCTCTAACAAGTGCCTTACGTTTATGACTGACATGCGTGTCTCTCAGCATCCTGCAGCCCAATGCCGTGGGGCTCTCTCCCTCAAGATGGTCCATTCCGGGAGCAGAGACTAGTTTGTTCACAGCTGTAGGTTTTGGGCTTAATACTTACCGTGGTTCAGGAAGGATTTACTCAAAGGATGAATGAAAGAACACTGCGGTCTTACCTTTGACACCCTGTACCTCTGGCCCCAAATGTCCTTTGGTCACTCCTCCTGGATGTACCATGGGGCCCCCACCTCAATCGAGCCACCATCTGCCTCATCCATCCCAGTCCTTCCTGTCTGCTCCTTGGTAGCTTATCCACCCACCCCCAACATCTAGAATGCTCCCTCCCTCTCTCTCTCACTCAGCATGTAACCAATTACTTTTCTTTTATGAATGAGGAAGCTGAGGCCCAGAAAGGTAATGCAACCAGCTCAAGGTCACACAGCAAGTAAGTGGCCAAATCCAGGACCTTGCTCTCTGGACAGCCTGAACTCTCTCCTTTAGAGCAGTGGTTCTCAATCTTCCTAATGCCGCGACCCCTTAATGCAGTTCATCATGTTGTGGTGACCCCCAACCATAAAATTATTTTCGTTGCTACTTAATAACTGTAATGTTGCTACTGTTATGAATCATCATGTAAATATCTGATATTGCAGGATGTATTTAGGCGACCCCTGTGAAAGGGTCGATCGACCCCCAAAGGGGTCTCGACCCACAGGTTGAGAACCGCTGCTCTATAGGTTCTGTCTCCTTTCCCCTGCCTTCTCTACACACATCTGGGGCATCTGTGTCTTGGTTCAGGCTGATAGATTGCCCTCTGCCTGGGAGAGCAATCTGTCCCACTGTCTTTCATACACATCTATGGAATTCTGCTCACCGTTCTCTGAGGCCCTTCTCAGAAGCCACTTCCTCCAGGAAGCCTTCCCTGTCAACCAGATGCAAAATCTCTCCTTTAACCCTCCTGACTCCAGGTTTGTTTGTGCCTGTGGTGGAAGCTCCTTGAGGAGCTACCCTCCCCACTCCAGTGCCGGGAGCACTGTAGGCTGCAATCAATATAGAGCAACTCCCAAAAAACAAAACACAAGATTTAAGAAAAAAGATATAGAGCGACTCCTCTTCCAGGGCTCAAGTGAGCCCTGGAGAAATAACAGCATTCTCTCTCTCCTGTCTGAATCTCTCCAGGGCTCCCATATCAGAATAAAATTTAAAAAATCGCACCATGGTCCACAAGGTCCTATGTTAACTGAACCCCCACCCCCAAACCAGCCACCTCTCTGACCTCATTTCCTACCATCTGCTCCCCTTAAATATCACCTCTTAGGCAAAGCGTTGACCAGCCAACATAAAGTAGTTCTCATCCTCTGTTAGATTGCCCCTGCTTCAGGTTCATTTCAGCACTTCACCCCATCGGCCACCCGCCTGGGAGTTCTGGGCTGGAAACATACATCTATGAGGTCATGTGCAGAGAGGCGGTCACTGGAGCCAATGGGGTGGACGAGACCACCCAGGGAGAGTGTCTGCTAGGAGGGGAGCTAAAGGCTATAGATAGGAGGATGAACCTGCAAAAACAGAGACGCAGTAGGCAAAATAGACAGGATTGAGTTGCAGGAGCCAGAAGAGTGTTCCCAGAGGAAACGAGTGGTCAGCGGTGTCGGGGCAGCTGCTGAGAAAGTTAAAGACTGAACACTGTCTGCTGAGTTCAGCTTCCTGGAGGACAGAGGTGACCTGGGCAGACCCCCACCCCGCTGGGGGCCTCGGACAGGAGCCATCTGTGCAATGAGAGGAACTTCTTAGATCCTGGGAACTCTCAGCTCTGAGATTCTGTATTTCAGCACAGATTCATATCCCAGTCGCCAACAAGACCAGTCCTCCACCTGCAGCCTGGGAGACACAGGATGACCTAACTGGCACTCTGAGGAAGCACCCCTGCGTTCCTGGGCCTGCACTGGGCACTGTGCGGAAGAGAGGAGGCCCTAGGCCAATGATGGTGAACCTATGACACGCGTGTCAGAGGTGACATGAGAACTCATTTTTTTGGTTGATTTTTCTTTGTTAAATGGCATTTAAATATATAAAATAAATATCAAAAATATAAGTCTTTGTTTTACTATGGTTGCAAATATCAAAAAATTTCTATATGTGACATGGCACCAGAGTTAAGTTAGGGTTTTTCAAAATGCTGACACGCCGAGCTCAAAAGGTTCACCATCACTGCCCTAGGCCCTACCAGTCAGGTCCAGCTGGTCAGCTCCCTCCCTCCTATGTGATCCTCTAGGACTCAGCGGTTCTCAACCTGTGGGTCGCGACCCCTTTGGCGGTTGAACGACCCTTTCACAGGGGTCGCTTAAGACCATCCTGCATATCAGATATTTACATGACGATTCATAACAGTAGCAACATTACAGTTATGAAGTAGCAACGAAAATAATTATATGGATGGGTCACAACATGAGGAACTGTATTTAAAGGGCCAGAAGGTTGAGAACCACTCCTCTAGGTCCTGGCTTCCCTGGATGCCTCCAGGACAAAGACCACTCCTTCCTCCCCACCAGCTGGACAGGGTCAAAGGCTGGAGGAGGCCCAGCTGCCCAAGTGGCCTTGCTTGCTGCTGTCGGTAAAGGGCCCTCGATGTCCTTGGAAGGAAGGCTGAGACCCTGGCCCGTGGCTATGCAGCCCAGGGGAGAGGACTGACCCACATTGGGGGCCGAGTCCCAGGAAGAGGTTGAGAGGCTGTGCTGAACAATGACCTCATTTGATGTGCACAGCAAGCCTGTGAGGCGGACATTCTTATCCCCACTTCACATGGAAGTAAACCACGGCTCAGAGAGGTTAAGCGCTTTCCCAAGGTCACACAGCTAGTAAATAGCCAAGTTTGGTTTGTAACGCGGCCAAGTCTGATAGAGAGCCCCTACTCTTTTTAAAAAATATATACTTTTATTGATTTCAGAGAAGAAGAAAGAGATAGAAACATCAATGGTGACAGAGAATCATTGGTTGGCTGCCTCCTGCACACCCCCTACTGGGGATGGAGCCCGCAAACCAGGCATGTGCCCTTGACCGAAATCGAACCCAGGACCCTTCAGTCCTCGGGCGATACTCTATCCATTGAGCCAAACCATCTAGGCAGGTGGTTCCCTACTCTTAATCCTTGCACCTCCCCAGAGCTGGGGGGCTTTAGCCTTATATTGTCTCACAAGTAGTGTGACCTTGGGAAAGATTTATTCCCACTCTCCACACCTGCAATAAAGCAGATTTCTTAGTGCCCTTCCAGTCCTGACGTTATGTGATTAGCTAGCAGCTGTACAGAACTTTACAGTTTATAAAAAGGCATCCATTCGGCATCTCATATATCCCCCCGAGTCTCGCAGGGTGGGAGAAATATACCCTGCACTTGACAGATGTGCAAACTGAGGTTCGCAGAGATGCAGTGACCTGCCCAAGGTCACAAAACCAGTCCGGGTCCCCCGGCCTTCGGGTCTGGAGCCCGGGTTCCATCCTGGACGCTCCTTCAACTCCCCTCCCGAAAGGACGGCCCCGCGCTGCGCCGCACCCCGAC